TTGAGTCAGAGTCTCACTCTGTCGCCCAGGTTAGAGTGCAGTGGCATGCTCACAGCCACCGCAGTCTTGACCTGCTGGCTGATCCTTCCACCTCAGCCTTCCAAGTAGCTGGAACTACAGGTGCATGCCACTATGCCCAGCTAATTTTTAAATTTATTTTAGAGATGGAATCTCACCAAGCTGCCCAGGCTGGTCTCGAGCTCCTGGGCTCAGGCAATCCTCTCGCCTCACCTCCCAAAGTGCTGGGATTACAGGCATGAGTCACTGTGCCGAGCTAAAACTCACATTTCAGTGCCATCTCTGTACCAACTCTTTTAGCATCTTTATTGAGATATACTTGGCATGCCATAAAATTTACTCACTTAAGGTACAGGATTTGCCTAATCTATAAAAATCCTACTCAAAGTTTGGTGCTCAAACTTGCAGGATCAGATCACCTTGGATGCTTTGAATAAATATTTTTCATGCTGAAATGTTTGACAGATATTAGCTCAACGATACTAAGTATGTTTTCATTTTTCCAAGACTTTCAGAACTTGGACAGGTGACTGCATGGTGACTCTCTAACAGAATGGTTTATTTTTCCACAGAATGTCTTCCCATCACCCCACCACAAGTCACCTCCTCTTCCCACAATTATTTTTCATGACAACAAAGGTTCAGTCCTCATTCATGCTTCATATCCACACACATATAGGTGTGTGTGTCATATTTGTTGAGATATATGTCATAAAATCTATACTTTTGCATTGTACTATTCAGTGTTTTTAGTCTATGCACAAGGCTGTGCTGTCACCCCTACTACATAATTCTAGAACATTTTCATCACCCAAAAAGAAACCCCACACCCACCAGCAGCGACTCCCCAGCCCCCTCTTCTCCCATCCTCTGGAAACCACCAATCTACTTTCTGTCTATATAGACGTGCCTATTCTGGACATTTTATATAAATGGAATCATACACGATATAGCCTTCTGTGTCTGACTTTTGACAACTTAGCAACATTGTAGTCTGTTTCAGCACTTCATACCTTTTTACAGCTGAACAGATATTCCACTGTATGGATCTAGCACATTTGTTTGTCTGTTCATAAGCTGGTGGACATTTGAGTTGTTTCCTTTGGGCTGTTTTGAATAATGCTGCAGTGAACATTTGTGCTCAAGTTACTGTGTTAACTGTTTTCAGCTCTTTTGGCTATAGAACGAGGAATAGAATTGCTGGGTCAGTTGGGTGACTCTATGTTTGACTTGTTGAGTTGACTCCAAGAGTTAAACCTAACTGCCAAACTGTTTTCCAAAGCAGCTGCGCCATTTTACTTCACACGCAGCACATGAGGGTTCTAATTTCTCCACCTCCTCTCATGTGTTCTTGGCCAGTCTGCAGCTCTCTCACTCTTCTGCCAAGTCTACCATAAATAAGAAGGCAAGTCGAGAGGAAAGTGTTTGTATACCCAAGTAAGAGAGTGTATGTATGTGTGTGTGTGTCTTCTGACAACATCTCGAAATGACAAAGTCACAAAAAGTCTCTGGGAACCTACTCTAAAACATTGACTGAATTTATGGCTCATCAAGATGTAATTGATCCCAGGCTTATTATAAATGAAAATAGAAACCCTCTATCGAGTGTTTCCTGTGTACCAAGCAGTATGCTGAACTTGTTTTTATGCTAACTTACTGAATTCTTACAATTACTCTGAAACAAACATTATTATCGCCATTCTAAAGTACAAGAAAATGAGACACATCACTTAAAAAGCTTGATCTAAGGCCGGGCTCAGTGGCTCAGCCTGTAATCCCGCGCCTTTGGGAGGCTGAGGTGAGTGG